CTCTCTCTCTCTCTCTCTCTCTCTCTCTCTCTCTCTCTCTCTCTCTCTCTCTCGTGCGGGCGTGGTGGGCGAACACACACACACCAACACACACACCAACACACACACAAGCACACACACATACACACAACAAACACAATCTTTTCCGAAGCTGGGTGGTCACACACACTTAGAGAGAGAGAGAAACAGAGAGCGTACTTGTTGGTTACAGCAACGCGCGGTTAGTCGCGGCACACTGGAGGTGGGCACTCATCTGTCAGAACGCGCCCGCTGTCGATCCGATGTGGCACCAGTGCTCACACACACACACACACACACACACACACAGAGAGAGAGAGAGAGAGAGAGAGAGAGAGATGGCTGCTGGGCCTTGTTGATCCGACGTTGCACCAGTGCAGGGAGGACTTTGGCGGAAGGCAGTTGGCGGAAGGCCACATGGTAACGGGTACGGATCGACAAGACGCAAATGTGCATGGCGTCTGATCTTTTTTCCCCTTCGATTTCAGAAAACACACTGCAATTCCGTACCACCGGAAGGTCGACAGGCCTTACTGCCACCCACGGACAAAGAAACATCCGTCGGTGCGCCCGCGTGGGCCAAGGTTGATGTTCAGGCCTCCCCCACTCCGACCCTGTCCCAACCTTCTATTTTGTCACTTGTGGCGACAAGTTTTTTTGTTGTATGGTTGGGGGCGTGTACTGGTGGTTTAAGGAGTTCCCATTTAACCTTGAGGCGAAAGTTGCTCAATTTAATTTTCTGTGTAACTTTTTTTTTCCGTATTTTTGACTTTTTTTCTGGGTTACCAGATGTCCGATCGGAGACGTTTCCCGGAGACGTCTCCGTCGGACGTCTGGTGAGGGAGTTGTCCGGAACCGGACAACTCATTTTCTCCAAAATAAATAGTTAAAAAAAAAAATCGTGATGGGCTGCGCTACATGAGGTAATCCCATAAAAAAAAATTAAGCTAATTTGGAGCAAAAAATAAATAAATGCAAAACATGGGGAAAAGGGGTTTTGAGGGGGTAGGTTGGGGTGTGTGATTGAAATTGACCCCAACCGTTTGGGTGAAATTGACACAGAAATCTTTGGCGATTTTTATCTTTTTTTTCTGTGGGCTCAA